CCTGATGCCAGGCCCAGCACTCTATGCACTATGGTAGCATCTAGTTGTTTTAGCAACTGGGGATGCAAAGACAAAGAAATGAGTCTTTGTCCTCCAGGAGCCTACATTCTGCTGGTAAAATACTCCATAATGGCAGGCAATTTGCCTAGATTGAAGATGGGGAGATATATTTGATCTCAGTCCAGGGGCAACTAGGTGGTACAGTGGATACAGCATTAACCCTGGAGTCAGGAGGACCTGAGTTCTAATCCAACCTCAGGCACTTATAGCTGTGAGACCATGGGCAAGTCACTTAATCCCAATTGCTTCCAAAGGAAAAAAAAAGTCATCTTTCATGTGATTCTATGACAGTTGGTAGAAATCATTTTGAGAAAATTCACCTATGTTATGGGCAGGAACAAAATTGTATAAACCAGTGTGCTTGGAAGAGAGTCAATTGTTAAATAATCACAGTGAGCCTTTATGCATCAGAAATGGGCAAACATGACTAATCAGGGAGTGATTTACTGTTTTCTTAGTTGTATAGACTTAAGAAAGTGTTACTAATGCAGATGATACTTCAAAATGTGTCTTGTATACATTTTTCCCCAGAGGGATGGTTGTTAAACATTTACCAGCTTACTACTAGTTCACTTGTATCCATTGATTCTTTTTGTGAGAGTGTGGGTGAGTTTTGTGAGAGTGATGCCAGAGACCGTTAAGCCATTTAAGTCCCTTTCTGATAATAATAACCTGGCCTTTAGATAGTACTTTAAGGCTTGTAAGATACTGTATATTACCTATCATTTCATTTGACCCCATTTTCCACTTCTGGCTCTGAGAATTTCAATGAAATGGGTATGACCGCTCCTGCTGAAGAGGCCATATCAGTTATCTCCCATGACCACTTTGCCTTCCCAGACTAAAACACCCCTTCCTGGTGACCACTCCCCTCTGTGTTTTATCTCCCCTGTGAGAATGTCAGCTCCCTAAGGTCAGGGACTGTTTCCCTTTTGTATTTGTATCTCCCACATTTAGTTTAGTGCTTGGCAGAGTAATAATAGTATCTAGGATTTACATGGTATATCTAAAGCACTTTGCATGTCATCTTATTTGATCCTCACAAGGATCCTGGGAGGTAGGCGCTGTTATTATCCTCATCTAAACTAAACAGCTTGCCCAAGGTCACAGCTAGTCAATATCTGAGGTAGGATTTGAACACAGACCCACTGCCTCACCTACTCGCCTAATTAGTAAATGCTTCATACGTGCTTTTCATTCATTTAGCAGGTATCCCCATTTACAGATGAGGAAACTGAGGGTCAGTGACCTGCCTGTGGTTACATAGCTAGTGTCAAAGGTGGGGTTCAAATTGAGCTAACCTCTCCCATTACTCTGTGATGGTCAGGTTATTTCCTCCTCCTCATCATCTTTCCTAGCATTTATTTAACACCTACTGTATGTCAGTCACCTTGGTTAGGGCTTTACAAAATCATCTTATTTGATCCTTATAACTCTGTGAAGTAGGTACCATTTTACAACTGAGGAAACTGAGGCAAGCAGAGGTTAAATGACTTGCCCAAGGTCACAGGGCTAATAAGGGTCTAAGATCAAATTTGAACGTAAGTCCTCTTGACGTCAGCCTCGGTGCTGGCCCCAGCCTCTGCAGCACGTAGTGAGCGCCTCTTGTCACATTACACCATCTCTTCAAGTTAGCGAGTAATGTCGATCCATTTTGCATTATCTTCTGTGTCTCATCACTGCATAAGCCTTTCTTCACTGCTTTTAGGCACACTTTGTGTGCAACAAAGGCTTTTTTAAGTTGGCAGCTTAATAAATTAATATTAACAAGTCAATAAGTCTTAGTCAAAGTTGAAGATGTAACTGTGGCATAGGGTCAACAGAGCCGAAATCCCCCAATTTCCACAGTTCATCATCCGTAGGCAGCCTTCTTCCTCTTCTGAAGCCTGGTGTCTCACCATGGCCACATCCCATCTTGTCGGCCTCTTGCATAGCTGTGGACGAGGTGATGGTACCTGGTATAATGCAGTGTTGTGTCTCCTTCAAGAGAAAGAACTCACAGGGCTCTGTTGTGTCAGAACAAAGAGAGCCAGTGATTGTAGGAAGGAAGCTGGATTCCCAGGGAGGGCAGTGTAGACCCTCCTACCTAAACTCAGTACCCCAAGTGGAAGGGTTAATGAGGCCATACATTTGTGGAAGTAGCAGGCATTTTTTTGGTTAGAATTTAGGACATTTTGTCATGACGTTATGACAGTACAAACTGTAAGCAACTTTCAGAGAGCAGACTTGAGCTTCTCAGTGCCTCCAAGGTACGTTATCTTACAGTAATATACACTTTGTCGAGTCTGATTGCTTAATTAAAACCCAGAGTTCCTGTGATAGTTGGAAAAGAACTTTTTTTTTCCTGGCAAAAACTTCCTGGTGTTCTGTGATCTACACAATTTCATGACAAGCTGATCCAGACTGTAAAAATAATTAATGCATTTTTATGGTTGCTGTTAACATAATTAAACACTGTGACAGATGTTGATCAAATCTTCCCCAGAATCTTCTTTTCTCTGCTTTTAGCACCAACTGAAGTTCAAGTCATGAATTCAAGAATCAAAAACTGAGAAAATCAATCATGTGATTTGTGTGTGTGTGTGTGTGTGTGTGTGTGTGTGTGTGTGTGTGTGTGTATAAAATGAAACTTGTTTTCTTTTTTGAGAGGTGGGGTAGAAGGGCCATTGTGGACTGTGCCTGGTCCAGACTGGTGTGATACTTCAGGTTCAGACATGGGAAAAAATGAGATACTTGCAAACCATCTAGTAGCTAACAATAAGCCATATCATGGAAAGGATACTTGGCAAGAATGCAGCATTGACTGAGTTGAGTCTCTATGGTGGCTATTTTAGCCTTCTGGTAAAGCCTGAGGGAGAACAAATCCTGACTCCTCAGGAATTTACTTTTATAAGTTGTACACTGGAATGCTAAATCAACAGCCTGACTCTTATTTTCCTGAGTCAACTAAGCCTCAAGGATCATTTAAACACTTTTAAAGGAAAAACTATCCTGGCCTACATGCCAACATTGCTTCTACCCCAGGAAGTTGTGGCTAGGGGAGGAGAGGTTTTATTTCTCCAGCATTGACTGTTTTTGTGACCTTGGGCAAGACACTTAACTCCTCTAGGCCTCAGTTTCCTCATATGTAAAATGACAGAGTCCGAAGAGATGACCTCCCAGTTCCTTTTCAGCTCTAAATCTCTGGTTCTGTGATGCTGTCATGTAAGTTTCTAAGATTAAAAAAAAAAAACGAGCACTAGTCTCATGGCTCACTTGTGTTTATCAATACCTTTTGTCTCTGAATAATAAACTATGACCTTATGGTTCATAGGGTATGAATGAAGAAATCATCGGGCTTTCATTCTGTGAAAATGACCACCTCATGATGGTGTAGGAGTTAAATGACCTGGGTTCAAATCCTACTCTTGTTCTTTACTACCCATGTGACCCTGGCCAAACCTCTCAGGGCCTCAGATTCCTTATCAAAAGATAAAGGGATTGGACTAGATGGTCTCAGAGGTCCATTCCATCTCTAAATCTATGATCCTATTAGCCCAAGTGCAGTAGAAGAGATCTAGAAGAAGAAGGAAAACCTATTCTCTTACTGGTCACGGGGGTCAGGGAAAATGCTGACGTTATCTGCAAATCAGGATTTTGTTGTAGGTATCTCTGTTTCTGTGGGCATAATTCACCCTCAACAACCCTAATGTCAACACCCAAGCACTGGCTCTTCTTCAGGAGCATGACCCAACAAAAACACACTAATAATAATTGACATTTAAAATGTTATTGATATCTTTTGTTTTTATATTTCCTTCATTTCTGAATCTCTCTCCATCTCCCTCCCTCCTTCTCTCTCTCTCTCTCCCCCTCCCTCTCCTTCCTCTCCTCTCCTCTTCTCTCTCTCTCTCTCCCTCTCCCTCTCTCTATCTGTCCCTTTTTCTTTTTCTCACTCTTCTCTCTCCCTCTCTCTTTGTCTCTCCCTCCTTCCCTGCCTTCCCTCTCTCTCTCTCCCTCCTTCTCCCCTTCTCTCTTTCTTCCTCCCTCCCTTCCATTTCCCCTACTTGAATAACCACAAAGTTCCATACACATAGACTCCAGCCTCTGCAAAGAATGGAGGGAAGTACATTTTCGCTTCTCTTTATGGGGGCCAAGCTTGATTATTTCAGTTATGCAGGATTCCATTTCATTTCTTCCTTCTTCACTTTTTATGGCTGTAGTCATTATGTGTAGTATTTTTCTAGCTTTGCTTACTTCACTCAGCATCAGTTCATGTAAGTCTTCCCATGCTTCTCTGTATTCATCATGTTTGTCACTTCTTGCATCACAGTGATATTCTACAGCTTGTCTGGGCATTAATAACTGATACATGTAATACTTTAAAATTTGCAAAGAGCTTGTCATCTGAGCCTCACAAAACTTTCACAAGAGAGGGACTACAGTTATTACTCTCTCTTTTTTAATAGATAAGGAAATTGAGAATCAGGAACATTAAGTAACTTACTCAAGGATATTCAGCTAGTAAGTGTCAGAGGTGAGATTTGAACTCAAATCTTCCTGATTTTAAATGTAGCATTTGATTGGGGTGGGGCTGGTAAATATTTAACAACCAGTATATCCCCATGACACACATTTTAAGTTTAATCTACATTATTAATATTTTTCCATCACTTTCTTAAGTCAAGACGATCAACAAAACCATCTACAGATCCTGATTTAGAGCATTTGCCAATATCTGAAGTATAACTGGTCACATTGAAAATTTAACAGTCGGCTCTCTCAAGCTGATTCAAGTTAGTTTCAATACATCAGATCACATTGCCTCTTTGTTGTAGAATGGCATTGAGCAACATTGAAAATCCCATGAGTTACACACACATTGCTCATGCATGAAGCAAATAGTCACCCCTAGATATACAGATCACATTTTATGCATGGTTAGTTTCAATTTGACTTACCTTTTTGTCATCTCACTTCTTTGCCATTTGTTGAACTTGACATGGACACATGAGAAAAAGCTGGTGCTGACTTTCAGTAGCTGGAAAATTAGATGACAAATCTAGTTTAACTAGGAAAGCTTTCAAAATGACTTGGAAGTTGAGAAGAAAATTTTAATGTAAGTAGGAAAGATCAACCAATTTCAGTTACATGGAATAACAAACAAAAAAGTCTAATCTAGAGTAATCTGGAAAATTCCATATGGATATACATGTATAAATACACACACACACACACACACACACATTTCATGAGCTTAACTGGGCTTCAAGTTAATCCTTAGATTTTTAGCGTGCTCTTTCAAGTATTTTTAAAGTGCTTTAATATTTCTTATGTCATTATAAGAGGTAGGGTTCAAATCTCACCTCTGATGCTTAACTAACTGTGTGACCTTGGGAGAGTCATTTAACTTCCTTGGGCTTCATTTTCCTCATCTATAAAATGTAAGGTTCAGTTTGATTGCCTCTGAAGTCCTTTCCAGATCTAAATCAAATGTGCTATTATCTGAATGGTAAACAAAATTTCTCTGGGATGCTTTGTGTCAGAGTTTAACCATACTGGATTTCAATTCAACTCAATAAACATTTAAAAAATTCCTACTATTGTGCCAGGAATTATGCTAAGCACCAGGAATACAAATACAAAAAAGAAAGACAGTCCCTGATCTCCGTGGGGGAAAACAGCACATAAAAGAAAGATAGAAAGGGAGGAGTGGGAGGGGGAGGGACACCAGGGGTACCTAGTGTTGGAGAATCTTGCTCCAGGGAGATGAAAGCAAGCAGGTTGGCAGACAAAGGGGAGAGTAAGCTCCAAAGTCCAGAGCCTGGCCTCTATAAAGGAAAGCTTTGGGAGGAATTTAGTACTCTGCCTTCCAGTCTTCCAGTCAGAAGGGAGGGGAGGCTGAGGGAGTTAGGAAGGTGGAAGGTGCTGAGTATCCAAGTCTGAGTTAGCAGCATGGTGATGTTTAGAAGTTATCTGCTATTATCATTTATCTATAGAACTCTTCTGTTATAACATATACCTTTGACAAACCTGGGCAAAGTCCATCTACTCTTTCACTCCACCCAGAATTAAACAGAAAGAAAATAGGCTGTATTGCCTTTGGCAATTCTCGCATTTCTTTTAATGATACCAAGCTACTCCCTGAAAAAGACTTGGTCCATAGATTTGACACCAACACTCGTCCTAATATGTTCTATGTTTGAATGTCATTGACTACTATTTTTTTCAAAAGAATTCAAATTGAAAATTACCCAAAGGACAATAGAGAGGCTCATGGTGGGTATGAGTATGCTTCAACATATTAAAAAGGAATCAGCATGCAGAAGAAGGATGTCACTAGAGAAGTGTATAACTAAAAATAAATGGGTTGGTGATAGAACAAAAGTGAGGGACAACTAATGGAAAGTACATGTGCTCCATTAGTACCCTTGAAATGTCAAGATAGTGTGAGATAGAGCCCCCTCTACAAGAAGTAGTCCTCTCTGGGGGAGTTATAGGAGGATACAAGATGGCTCTCTTAACTAGATTTTATCATTTTGGGGGGGAAAAGGAATCTCACTAGAGAGGAAGGAGAATTATATCACTGGTTTTCTTGGCTAATGTGAGTCCCTTGTGTTGTTTTGCATTTTTTTAAATGAAATTAATAAAAGACTGTCCTGTTGTTCATCCATCATTTCCAAAGAGAACTAATGAGGTGATGTTTTGACTTGGGTGTCCTGAATCTAATGTATGCGTTATTATCTTGAGTGCTTTTGTAGGGGCTAGGAACTTTTTTTTACCCCCATCTATAGAGACCTAGAAATGAGCTATATATGACCAATATCCTGCAGTTTCTCAGGGGCAACTCAGGGCAGTGTGAGCAAGAGATGTGATTTTTTTTTGGGGGGGGGAGAATGTGCCCAAGGTTAGACCTGGTCCATGTAAGCCCAAAGCCCAGGGAGACTAGGCCATGAGTTATACACACATTATTCGTGCATGAAGCAAAAAGTCACCCCTATACATAAAGATCACATTCCACGTATGGTTAATTCAGTTTGACTTACCTTTTTGTCATCTCACTTCTTTACTATTTGTTGGATTTAATATGGACATATGAGGAAAAGCTGGTGCTGACCTTCAGTGGCTGAAAAATTAGACTCCAAAATCTAGTTTAACTAGGAAGACTTTTGAAATGACTTGGAACTTAAGAAGAAAATGTTAATGAGTAGGAAGGAAGCAGCCAATTTCAATTATATGGGATAGCAAACAAAAAAAAAAGGTATCATCTAGGGCAGAAGAAAGATGACTGTGTGGGCCGAGAGTAGAATTTCTTGAATATGGTGAAGGGAATGGTCAGGAGAAACAGAGAAAAGAGAGAGAAGTAATAGAGACAGGAGTATACTGGTGGACAACCTTAAAATCCAAATGAAGAACCAGAATTTAAATGTAGATCTTGAGGTGGGGAGGACTAATAGGCATCTTTGTTAAAAGGAGTGATGGTCAAAATGACCAAAGACAATCTTCTCTCTCCCTTTTTTGGTCTCATTCTTTTGTCTCCTTCCTCCCCGCTCCCTTTTTTCCTCCCTTCTTTCCTTCCTTCCTTTCTTCCACAGTACCCACATACATCATTGGGTCTTAATAAATGCTTACTGAATCAGGAGTTCCCTACACTAATTAAATCACAAGATTGGTGGAGAGGACGGGCCTATGTGGGATGGAGGACACCCTGTGCTAGGGCGTGGAGATGGGACATGTAATCTTGTGGAAGGAGAACCGTAAGTATGCCATGTTGACTGAAAAGTTGAGTGCATGAGTGTCACATGTGATAGACCTGGACAGGTCCACTGGATTCAGACTGTGCTGAAAAGCCAAACAGAGGAGTTTGCATTTTATTTGCAAGGCAAGAGGGAGCCACTGGAGGGTCTTGAGCAGGGGAGTGACCTGGTTAGGTCTGCTCTTTGGGAGTTTGAATTCAGTCCCGGTGCAGAAGATGGATTCGAGAGGGGAAAGATTGGACAAAGGAAGATTGTTTAGGAGGCAGTTTCTGCAGTATTTCAGGTGAGAAGTGATGAGGCCTTGAACTAGAGTGTTGGCTGTGTGAGTAGAGAGAAGGGGGTAGATGTGAGATGATTTGAGGAGAGAGAATCAATAAGCTATTTCTAACCATTTTAGATTTGGGACAAGAAAGTAAAGAGTTGAAGATGATTCTGAGGTTTCAGAGTGGGTGACCTGAAGAAAGATGGCGTTCTCAAGAGAAATGAGGCTTTGAGGAACTGATTAGGGTTTGAGGAGAAAGAATGAGTTCTGCTCTGGAGATGCCAATGAGACATCTAGTTGGAGATGTTCGTTAAGGCGGTTGGGGATAAGAGCCCAGAGAGCAGGAAAGGTCCTATAAAATGTAAGCCCCTCGGGAGCCAGGGCATGTGCTTACTAAATGCTCCTTGACTGTTGATTGATTGGTGAGAAGACAACACAGTGTATTATGTCCCACAACCTGAACTGAGTTGTTGGTAGCAATAATTATGTTGTGAAACTCCAACATCTAAACCTTCAGCTATTTAAATGAGACATTCAATTGAGCCCATGTACAGAGACATTGGGCCTGAGAAAACTTTAGGCTGGACCTGGAAAAGATGTTACTGAGATGAGGAAATTCATCCCTCTAAGAAACAAACTTCCATTTCTCATCACTAGTACAATATTTCTTCAGGCTGTCTCTGCTCCCAGCCAGCAGATGCATCATCCCTCTGGTGCTCCTAAGTGTGAGAAGAGCTGGTAAATTTTCAAGCTAGTGCAGCTGTTTTCAGGCTGATGAATTTTTATTAAATCTATTTACAAGACTAAGCTTAGAAGCATCTGGAGGAAGAGTGGCTCGTTGGATGCTTTCAGGCTGTTCAATGAAGTATTTATTTATTTTTTTCTCTCCCAAGGCAGTTGGGAGGCATCTTGGTGCTTTGTTTGCAAAAGAATCAGATTCAGAGGAGCCGCTGGGGCTGTGCTTGACAGGTTGGATTTGCCACTTTAAGAAGGATCATTTGAGAAAGGGGAATGGGCTGGGGGAACCTCATGTCCAAAGTCTATATACAGAAGTTGAAAAGACAGTCTGTTGCTGGTTTCCTTAGCTATAGAACAAGGTGCCTAGATGAGATGATCTTTAAGTCCCTGTATCTGGGAAATTCTCTGGATCTATTACTTATTGAAAAGAGTGAGAGCTGGGAAAGTGTTTCACGAGATTTCTGAGGTTTTATGTGTTCCAAAGCAGCACCAGGGAGGCATTAGGAAAGGATGAGCAGCTATGTGGCTCATTCCAAAGAAGGCCCTCCTCTTCGGCGTGGAAAGGATTACATTTATTAATCATTTTAACACATAATTGTGGAAAAATAAAATATTATTTTAAAAATTATTGCCCTTATTTTTTTCTTCCTTCCTTCATGGCTTCACTATGGTCCTATATAATCCAACTTAAACAACACCCCAGTAATTCTGAATCTTTTTTGATTATCTAACAAATTCACACCCTTGCTTTGTGGGACTACAGAGGAAAAGACTAACCCAACCTGTCCTGTCTCCAAATGAACCACGCTTGGGTCTGTCTTTGTACTCACCCTCTTCGACTCTCCCTTCCCAGCCAGAATTCACGAGCTCATCAAGATCAGCTAAATTGTGAGGCCACTGACTTGCAGTTATGAATATTGAATGTTGCTTTCCCTGTGTGAACTGAAAGTTGGCATGTTTGGTGCTGTTGACTAACAAATAGATCTTAAAACTCTTGTACCTCAGAAGAAATGGTAGTGGTATGCCTGGGTTGGGTGGTTGGTTTTTACCTTCAGTTTCTAGTGCAGAGTTAGGTTTCATTTCTGAGAAGACACCCACTGGTTAGGATCTTCCAACATGTCCTTTCACAAGCCTGAGAAAGCTCGGCCTTGTAAGCAAGAATTCTAGTATGGGGATGATCTTGGGTGAGGGTGAGGAGGAGCATGTCCTGTGCAGGCCATCAGAGGAGTTGAGGAAGCTAAGTAACTTGGAGGCCATGGTATTCTAGGGGTAGAAAGGGTGGCATCATAGCCAGGTCCTGAACCTGTTGGGGAGACAGGAGAGCAACCTAGAGATCCATAGATGATTCATCAAGAATCTGGACAGAAGGGGCAGCTAGGTGGCACAGTGGATAGAGCTCTGGCCTTGGAGTCAGGAGGACCTGAGTTCAAATCCCACCTCAGACACTTGACACTTACTAGCTGTATGACCCTGGGCAAGTCACTTAACCCCAACTGCCTCACCAAAAAGTGAAAAAAAAAAAAGAATATGTACAGGATCAGAAATTATTGCTAAATGATCATCTCAGAGGGAAGGTCTGAAAGAGGCATTGGGGAGCAGGGAATAGATTGTCTCTTTGTATAAGAGGAACAGGAGATAAACATCGGAATGGACCTTTGGAATCATCTAGTCCAGACCCCACATTTTATAAAGAAATTGGGGTGCAGAGAGGTTACCCAAGGTCACACACGTAGTGACCAGAGCAGGATTTGAACATACATTATCTGACTACAAATACCACATTGTTTCCACAATCCCAGGCACAGTCTCCAGTCTTGGAGAGGGGTCCAGGAAGAAAGTTAAGTTTCAGTGAATGCTAGAAGATGGGAAGAATGTGAGAAAAAGAGGGGTAGGACTGAATCCTCTGGGATAGGGAAGGGAGTGGTGGCCAGTCTATGCTGCCTTCCCATTCATCCCTTCAGGTCAGCCTGTGTTAATGCCAGAATGCCTCATGTCCTGGTTCCGAAGGCCAGGATTGGGGTGGGGGGGGTTTCCAACCCCCAGTAGGAAAGTAGGTCTGGGAGAAGAAAGTGATACCAACAGGACCCCCTGGGGTAGTGGCCCAGGGGCTGGGTCAGGGGGCAGGCTGATTTGACTGGGCTGTTGAAGGGGGGGGGCTAGCTTGGGGAGAGAGGAATCCAGTTCTGTCTAGGGAGTCAGTATCTGCGTCAAAGTCCTGGCAACCGCACTCTATTACTGCCTATAGGTTTTCTGTTCTCTTGAGATCCACGTGATTGAAATGACAGCCGTCCAGAACCCACATAAATTGAAGAATCTCTAGCAGTTTTTGCATATCATTATTATCCTGGCTAAGGGCATGTCTATGTTTATTCTGTCTACTCTGAACGTACCTACCATGAACACCAATAGAAACTTAAATCATGGGAAGCAGTTAAACAAAAAAGCTGCCCATTTTGCCTAACTTTTCCTAGGAGAGAACAAACCATTTCTAGGTCTATGGTGTTTCTGTAAAGTCCCATAAATAGTTCCTACTTGGATCTAACTCTGGAAATGCCCAGTTTTTAGTGATTTAGAAAATTCCCTTCCTTTTGTAAATATTAAAGGAAATGTGTGAATTCCATGCACTTGATAAATCATGGTGCCATTTGAACAAATAGAATTATAGATTGTTGGAGCTAGAAGGACCAGGTATATTCATTGACACAAAAATTTGCTTGGTCCTTCAACGTATTTTTAAATTTCAATCTTCCTAGTGCCTTTGTACCCAGAGGTATCTACTTTACATACATTATGTAATTTGATCCATACAACAATCCTGTGAGGCAGGTACTATAGACATGATTATTTCCATTCTACAGATAAAAAAACAGATTCAGAGAAGCTTAGAGACCTGCCCCTACTCATATAGCAAGTATCAGAGGTGAGATTGTACCCAGGACATTCCCAAGTCAAAGTCCCATGCTCTCCTCACCAGTGCAGGCTGCCTCATCTAGTACAATACAGTCATTTTGTTTGATGCTTCCATTTACAGATCAGGAAGCTGAAGTATAGTGAGATCAAGTGACAGGGAGCATAGACTTACACTCAGGAGAAATGATGCAAATCCCACTCCTGATGCGTGTAGCTGTGTGACTACAAGCAAGACACAACCTCTCAGAGCCTCTGCTGATTCTCTAAAAGGGTATCTTCTAATGCATAGCTAGGTTGATGATGATGCTGGGGGAGTTCCCACAGTGATGAAATCACAGGGTCTTGAGGTGCCTACTTCACGGTGTGTTATGAGAGCAGTATTTTGTAACAGTCTGTGAACCATCTAATAGAGTCTGCTACCTATCAAAGGAGGTCCTTCCCTGTGAGCTAATCAGGCTCGTACCAATAGAAAAATCGATACGGTGACTCATCGGATCATTGGGTTCCTTGGCTTGATTCCTTTCCCATTACTCTGCAGGTACTGCCAAACTTCCCTTATGAGTAAGGCAAAATGCTGCTGCTTCTTTTTGACAGCACCTAACCACTGACAGTGTTGATGAGTCACTCATGAGATACTGATGGGTGGAATGCCTTGTTCTCCTTTCCTTTGCATGTCTGACCATTTGGCTCAGCTTCAGGTCACTCTCCAGCGTTTGAAGACTGTCGCACATGGATAGGCTGGAACGGGGTTGAGTTCACTAGCTCTTGTGGCCACACGGGTCCCAATTGTTCATGCGCCATTTCAGTGACTGAAAACACCTCTTGTTGGGCTTCTTCTTGCCATGACTGTTATGGGGGTGGTGGCAGTGGCGGTGATGTGTGCTGACTATCTGTGCACAGCCTCAAACCAGTCAAGATTCAGGAGAAGGAGGTTTAGACCCTGCCTTTTGTCCTTCCTTTGTTGTGTAGTCGGTCAGTCACGTCCAACTCTTCATGACCCCATTGGGGGTTTCCTTGGTAGAGACACTGGAGGGGTTCGCCGTTTCCTTCTCCAGCTCATTTTACAGATGAGGAAACTGAGGCCAACAGGGTGAAGTGACTTGCCTAGGGTCACCCAGCTAGTAAGTGTTGAAGCCAGATTGAAACTCAAGTCCTCCTGACTCCAGGCCCAGCGCTCTGTGCACTGCACTATCGAGCTGCCCCTGCACCTCGACTCCCTAGCCTTCTCCAAAGCTCAGTTCACGCATCACCTGCTAAGTATTTTCTATATCCCCCACAGTTGCAAGCATTCACCCACAATATCTTGTGATTATTTTTCTTCAGTTATTATGTGTCCAGGTTACCCTCCTGACAGAATGTAAGCTATCTGAGACAAGAAATTTTTTGTCTTTCTCTCCCCAGTCCCTGGCATGGCACCCAGTACTTCTAAAGTACTTCATGCTTGTTTAATCAATTGACTGATAGATCATTTGTCTAGAACCCTGAGGGGGAGATGGAGTTGAGCTCTGGGGGCCCAGAATTATCTGGGAATGAGAGTTGGGAGAAGACTCCTCATACCTGACGTTTACACACAGAGCACTTGCAGTCTCACAACGAGCTTAATATACAACATCTATTTAATTAATCTACACAGCAATTCTGTAAGTTGGGAAGTGCAAGGCTTATTATCCCTGCTTCGGAAGTAAGGCAACTGAGACTCAGTGTGTTCTAGCAGGAAAAAAATCACTGGCTTGGTTCTTTATGTATGAAAGGCAAGGAGTGGGCTAGATGGCCTTGGGGATCCCTTCTAGTCTAGTTCTATAGTCCTGTGGTCTTTCTTGGTCATTTGGAAGCTCCATGAAGGCAGAAGCTATTTCTTATTCTTTTCAGTATTTCCTTCAGCTAAAATATTTGTTGAATGAATGGATAATTTGTTGAATGAATGATTGGATAAGCAAAGCCCTGGCCCCAGAAACTGGGATCTAAGAACTCTGCCCCTTGGCTTGGCATCATAGGAAATACATAATTTGTTACAAATAGAATTGTTCTGACTTTTCCCATCACTTTTTCTCCTTATTGTCTGCTCTTCAATTCCTCAGTATGCTGCTGGGCTATCCCTTCTGTCCCAGTTCCCTATGTCTTTGCTGTTACTGTGTACCAAGGGCGTAGCTGGCATGGCATTGTGTGAAGAGCCCAAGAAGCAGGCATCTGTCAGTCTCATAATTCCTTTTCTCCTAGGTTTTCCATCAGCCTGTCCTGGTAACGAGCAAAAGTTGCTGATGCTTAATCTTGCTCATTGTGTGATAATGTTTGCAATTGCTGTTTTATCCTTTGGGGAAAGGGGAATAATCCTTACATGTCGTTTTCATCTCTGAATCACAGAAACTAAATCTGCATCCCATGTGTGTGGTTTATCAACTAATGTTGACAGGAATGAAGAATTAACAAATCCATTAGCATTGCATGGTACAATGGGATGAGCACTGAACACTGTCTTCAGATCCCATCAGTGACACTACCAGGGTGACCTTGGCAAATCACAACCTCCTTGGCCCTTGGTTTCTTCATCTGTAAAATGATGGTCTCTGAGGTTCCCTCCAGCTCTGCATCTATGTAGGATGTTGGCCAATAAGTGGAAAAATAATCGCTTTTCTTTAAGCCATATGTTCAGCCCTTATTAATAATTATCATAGCTAATATTCATATAATTCCTTAAAGTTTGCAAAGAGCATTACACATATTATCCCATTTGTTCCTCATTACAGCCTTGGGAGGAAGGTATGACATTTCACTTTTATCCCCATTTTACATAGAAGTAAACTCAGGCTCAGAGTGTGACTTTCCCATGGACACCTTAGTAGAGGCAGGATTTGAACCCTTATCTTTTGACTCTGCAGCCAGTACTTTTTCTGATTCTCCCAGGCCCCTAATTATCAGAGATCTCAAATCCTGGTCTCTGCTGATCTCAGAGCCTGTGCTGTTTCCACTCCATCACAAAAACCTTTTGTATTCATCAGTAAATGATTCTTTTTT